CCTGAACTGCTGCTCAGGTGTGCCCCAGGGAGCAGAGGGGAGGCCACATGGGGCAGATCCCCCAGGGGAGATGGGCTACTCATCCAGATAGCATGGCAGAGGCACATAATTTATATTCCAGTCTTGGAGAAGACTGATGGACACCATGATCAGATATAATACCCGAGTTCACAGCATCTGGGTTTGGGTTTTTTTAAGTATACTTGTTAATTTGGGATAGAGTAGCAGTTCTGCCACAGATGAAAAGGTGGAGAGTCTATTTTTACCTGTTTCTTGAAGGTAAAAATGCAGCTGGGACAGAAGCTTCTTGTGTTTGTACCATATACTACATATCCTTCTCTAGGATCAGCAGATTATTCCAACAGGATATGACAGCCAGTCTAAAACATGCAATGGATGAAATTACCTTCACAACTGAACACAAGGAAGAAAAATATCTATTGCTGTGGGCCACAAAGAAAGTGAAGTATACAGAAAAGTAAACTCACCCAGTGCATATTGAGGAAAGCAGAGATACCACATAAGGGTGTGCATTTCTTCAGGGCTACAAGATCAAACATGACAATCATGGTAATTTGTCTTCCTGGCCAGTACATTATCCCACTGTAGTACACAAAGTGTACTCAGTGTCACGATCCTCACATAGTTCATCATTTCTGGCTGAACTGAAGTGTGTCCTTGGAAAAGATCTAGTCTTTTTTAGCACAAGACACAAAAATGGTGGCACAGAATCAAATCATAAGCACACCTGACTCATTTACCCTCTCCCTGACAGTGGCCAACACCGTCTGCCTAGAAAAAAAGTCACAAAAAAAGGGTAGACAAAGAGTGCTCCCTCCCTGGCAGCTCTCCTAGCTCTTACAGATTTGTAATCCAGAGACCTGCTGTGACAGAGGTTTTGGCTTTGTGTTTAACACCCTTTGATAGATTTCTTTTGCAAATTTCATCCACTATATAGTGACTATCATGAAATTTCATGGCCATGAAGGACTTACAATTGATAAGTAATTTCACACTTGCCTCCAATAATCTCTGTTACACAAACCAAGTAAATTTTAGCACAGTGGAAAAGTTACCACTGTAATTCCACTAGCTACTCACTTTCAGCACTGAAAGCATGTGCCTATTTTCTTTTGGAATTAATCTGTTCCAGTCATGCTGTACCCCTGGACAACTAAAAACTGCTTTAGTGTCCAGTGTTTTCACCTAGTTCATGTACTCACACACCCTAATCAGATCACTCACAACATTCTGAGAGTTCAAAGAATCATAGGAAGGTTTGGGTTGGGAAAGACTTTCAAAGGCCATCTAGTCCCACCACACCATGGACAGGGACATCTCCAACTCATAAGGTCAATAAGGTCACTCCAAGTCCCATTCAGCCTGACCTCAGAGACTTCCATGGATGAGGTTCTCTGGGCAACCAGTGCCAGTGCTTTCCATCATCATTTTAAAAGTGGTGTCTCTTGCATCTAGTCTGCATCTACCCTATTTTAGTTTAAAACCACTGATGCCAGTTTAAAGCCATTACCCCTTGTCTTACAAATACAAGAGTTCTGCATCTCACATTGTAAAATACTTCTTATAATCTTCAGGTAAGTTTTGTGAACCTCAAACGTTCTTCTTTTCTCTTTTCCCTAGAAGCCTTAAAATAGGCCATGTGCTATGCCACCAGGGCACTTCTTGCTGTTTCATCAACAGCATCTGTTTTACCCAGATTGTCTACCTGTAAAGATCTGTTCTGTCTTAAATCTATGCTTTACAGGGCTGGGACAGAGCCTGGATTTTAGTGTCAAAAACAGAGGGTCCAAGAAAAATGAAGCTGCTTGCACTTTAATACATTCAATTTCTTCTCGGACTTACCTTTTTTAAAAATGCATCATACTCCTCTCTGGAGGAGTGATACATCATCTTCCCCAAGCACTTAAGTTTGCATTTGATTGTTCTAAAACAAAAGCCTATGTGAAGAGCCTTACTCTGCTACATACTCTTCTTCACTATTATCTTCTCATGACTTTGTTGCATATTTTTACATATCTGCCAATTTTATTTGTAGAGATCTTGTATTTGCTTCCAAATAATCAATTAAGTGTCAAACGACACTGGCTGGAGAACTGTTCCTCAGGTAAAAACCAGAATCCCCAGCTTATGGATTGGGCAGTTTACTGGCAGTATTTCCTGCTTTTCTCTCCTTTCCCACAGAGCTGGATTGTGAAAAATAGAATAATCAGCTTCCTTCAGCTTTCTCCCAAGATACAAGATGCTCTTAAGAATTTTAAGTTCTGTGTAGTGCTGCATCATCACCTGACATGCCCTGACACAGGCAGGGACTTGCCAACAAGTTGGCAACAACATTCCTAGCTTATGGGTTACATCCATCAAATCTCACTATCCTCTTTCCCATGATTCTCTTTCTCCTCTAATGAAGACTCACTAATGATTCTTGCTTGTCCTATATAATTTCAAACCCCTTCCTTCTGCAGCTTGTTTTACATCCCAGACATCCCCACCTGTCACATCCCCTACAGGTCTCAGTCAGCAATTCCTGACAGCCAATTTCGGCATCTCTCTCAGATTAATGCTCAGCTTGGTGGCATGACACCCAATGTGTCCCTATGCAAAAGATCTGCTGCTTGCTTCATTTCTTACAGCACCCAGTGTGCACTGCCAGTGCTTCCAGATATGTTATGTAGAACAATGATCCAAGGAATTCTCCTTGGATATTACCGTGTACTGAAACCTGCAATTGCAAGCTCTGCACCCTTGCTGACACCAGGATGTTACTTTTCATGCACCAGAATCTCTTTTGCATTCAAGATGAGCACACCATCCCCAAGGTGAGCATCATCTGAGTTTTCACTCTGCTCATCTCTGCTGTGGCAAGTGATCCCAACTGGCAGTCACTGCATCCCAAGGAGACATTAACCTGAGCACACACAGGACTGTGCTGCTCACAGGGCAACAGACCTGGGTTTGCTGCACAAATCCCTTGCCCACCAGACAGTCTCAGCCAGCTCATCCTACAGAAATGCCTATGGGCAGCTCTTGGTCATGCCCAGCCATTCTGCCACTCATAGGGCCTGACTTTTGTCTAACAGCGCAGCAAGAAATTCTCATGCAAACATCCTTTCTGTCTGGCAGCAGGAATGATGAATAGAGTTGCTTTCTTGCACTCTTATAATGGTTCTAATGGCAAAAAATGGAGAACCAGCACTGCAGGTGGGGTCTGCAGGGCGTGCTGGGTGTGGATCAGAGGCCCACTTGAGGTTCCCCACGAGCTGATGCGTCACATATAGGTAAAACCTTACAAAAGAATGGCCTTGTAAAATCACGGTTCAGGCCTTGTTACTTCGGCTAAGTATAGCTAGCAGCTAGCCTGATAAGTCCCCATGCAAAAACATCCTGAGAATGCAAAGTTCATTAACATAACAAACTATTCTTGGGGTGAAAAGTGCATCTGTAATAATGAGGGATCTGTTCCACCAGAATCAGTAGAAAAAGTATGTAAATATTGTTAGAGAGAAAAGTTTTGATTGACATGTACACTCACCATTACCAACCAATGAATTGAGTTCCTAACCAATTGGAATTGAACACAGTACCTTCTGATAACCATATAAATATAAGCTGTGTGCAATAAAGATCAGGCTATGACGGGAGAAGAAACAGGTGTCATTGTCTGTCTCTACTACAACAGATGTACACTATTCTATCATGTTAGCTCTAAAACATTTTATTTTAAATAGCACCCTATACAGCCCGAGTCTCTTCCCTACATGGATCATAATGGATCAGGATCTCCTTGTGCAGAACAACATACATAATAATAAATAATAAAAGATTTCTCAGGTAATTGCCCTTTTGCCCTTGTCCTCATCCTGTAAACATGTGCTTAGATGTTGCATGTAGGTACACCTTTATAAAATAAAGGCCTTGTTAACCTTGTAAAACCATGGCTCAGGCCTGCTACTTCAGCTAAGTAGAAGAGGACTATGGGAAAGTGACTCAGCTGAATTTGAGGTAGAAAAACAAGTTATATAACCATTACGTGTTCACGCTGTGGTGTATGGTGGTTAGCTGAATTACATTTGCTATGCTAAAATAGAATATAACTGGTAACAGCCTAACTGCTTAAAAAGGCCCGGTTTTTGCAATAAAGGGCTCTCCTCTGCACCTGCCTGGGGACTCTGCGTTGCTCTGCTTCATACACTTAGCAATAAACACACATCCCCATAAGGCACTGCAGAGATCTATGTTCTGCCCATGTAAATGTAATTGAGACATGCCTTACTTGATAAATAAGCAAATCTGAGATTTCTATCCAATTTGAATCCTTTGAATACTTCTTTTAAGCTTTTCTAATTTTTCAGCACCTCTTGATGCCAACACCAGACCTTCATCTCGCTCACTTAATGAGATGAGTATAGCAAATACAATCTCCTTCAGCAGTGACCCTGCAGTGATGAACAGGGTCAGTCACATTTGCTGGCTTATCACATAAATTCACAAATTCGCATCATGGTTTTGGGCTTTGATTTCTGGGATGTTGGCTGGAGAGATGATGCTGGAAACCTGAAAAAGTAAAATGAATAGTGGGGTCCTGGTGGATACCAAGCTAAACACAAGACAGCAGCATTCCCTTGGAGCAAAGGTGGCCGACAGCATCCTGGGCCGCAGCAGAAGGACCGTGGCCAGCAGGTCAAAGACAATGACCTGTCTCCCCAGCCCAAGTGAGACATGCCAGGAGTGCTGCTATGTCCAGTCTGGGCTTCCCAATACAAGACAGACATGGACATACTGGAGTTAGTCTATTAAAGGGATGTGGCAATGGGGGCGTTTGTCCTAACAGTGAGACTGCAAGAGCTGGGACTGTTTCGTCTGGAGAACAGACTCAGGGCAGTCTCATCTGTGTGTGTCAGTAACGGGAAAGTGTAAGGTAGACAGAAACAACTGCTGCTCAGTGGTGTTCAGCGATGCTGAGAGAAGCAATGGGCCCAAACTGAAATGCAAGAAATTTCATTCAAACAGGAGAAAGAAGTTTTGAACTGTACAAGTGCTATCCACCGGAACATACTCCTGGGAGGGACTATGAAGTCTCCATCCCCAAGATATTTAAACTGGAACCACTCTGCAGCTCTTGAAGAGCCAAAACCAGCAAAGTGAAAGTGGTTGAATAGCTTTGTCCAGCTAAACCAGACAAACTGTGTTTATGCTTCTTGAAAAAGTGAAATGCATAAACACAAAGGAGGGTGCAGCAATAGCCCTGAAAGTAGCACAGTCAATGTAATTTTGTCCAAGTACAGAGCTCATACTCACTCCCTCCCTGCACTGTTCAGCAGAATTACATAGCTTTAAGTAAGATCCATTCTACAGCTTGTTTACTTCCCTCATCCCAGAGGCTACAAAGTTTACAAGTGATGACATTACTCTGCCTGGAAAGAAAATTAAATTTATTTTTAAAAACCCCAAAAGCAAACCAAATCCCCTCTACTGAAACTGCCTCATTTCATAGCCCATGTGCCTCAGAGTAGCTCTGGGAAAGTCCTCTTCCCTTAACCTCACATACCCCTTCACCCATGGCAAGGCTGGGAAGGTGATGGAAAGTGCCAAGTGTTAAGGTGCTGAGAAGCTCTTGATGTTTCTCATCTCTCAAGTGCTGTTGGCCTGTTCCTGCTCAAAGAGAGCCATAGCTAAATGTGAGCGGGATGCAAGTCCTTCCAAGTTACTGAGCACACAGCGGTGGTACAGCTCCTCACTGAGCCGGGGATTGCAGCTTCTCAGTGTATATTTCTGCACTAGCCCCGGCTCCACAGCCCTGAACAGGTGCAGGCCAGAATAGTGGAGGAAGACATCAAATACCTCCATGCTCTCCAGCACCTCATCTCGGTCCAGGATATCGGCTGCGAGCTTGGTACGTGCTGTCATATAGTCAGAATTATAAAAGCAGGCCTCAGCAAAGGAATGTCTGTCAAAATGCCCATCTCTCAGGAAGTCAGTGTTGGAAGATGCTGTCTGCTCACCACGGTACACCAGTGCAGGGTTGAACTCCTGGAAATGCACAGGGAAGAAGACCTGCCAATTGCTGATGGTATTCATGCGGCAGCGGTTCAGAAACTCCATGTTGATCTCTGTCCAAACGCTGGCCAAGAAAAACAGTGTGTCCACAGGGTGCTTCTTTGAGACTATATCCATGAGCTTCACCTGTGATGGCACCTCTGTTTTAACACTAATCCACGGGATTTTAACTTCTGCATAGCGTTTCTCTAGCTCTCCTACCATGGCTTTGACTCCAGCAAAAACATCCACCTGACCAACTCTCTGAGCATCGTAGGGATGGTAGATAAAAAGCAAAGTCAGCAAGGCATTATCATGCGTGTCCAGTGTGTTCATAGCAAACATATCCAGGAAGTTTGCTACAAAATCCAGGTCCTGCACTGTCAAGGGAAGCACCAATTGCACCCGTGTGGCCTCAGTCACATATGGCATAGGAATAATTTCCACCTTACTTAAGGGTCGTACCAAGCTCACTCTCTTGGCCAGAACATGACTGTGACCCTTCTGGGTGGCAGCCTCCAGGAGCAGGTCCAGGGTGTATTCCATGCCCCGTGTGGGGTCAAAGCGCCGGTAGCCATTCAGCAGCTGCCGCTTGCTGAAGCGGAGCAGGGGCTGATAGAGACTGTTCAGCTGCTCCACTGCAGACTCGATGATTTCACTGACATCTGCCTTACTGGCTCCAGAAAGCTCACACTTTGGGGAGCCATCAGGACAGGAGAAGAGGTGCTGTTCCGTGAAGTAGTCCCAGCTGATCACCTCAAAACGGGACTTTGGAAGGAATGGAGCGTTAATGCCCACAGGCCAGGTCACACCTGCCTCACCTGCAGGGGTCAGTGCTGTCAGGTTCCTGATCTGCATCTGTGCAAAGAGAGAGCACAAACTGATGGCCACTATGTTCTCAAAGAGGTCTAGGCCAGCTCCTCCCCAGACCCACTTCACCACCTACAGTTGTACATGGGTAGTGTCACACCAGGAGTTTGGGGTAACGTGGTATCAGATGTGCCGTTTCTGAGACAAGGGACTAGAGCCTGTGTCTGACTGACAGGTGCCCACAAACAGAAGCAATGATGTTCCTCCAGTGTGCTGAAAATTAAGGAAATCTGTTTGGTCAAGGAGTTTTTGCAGGTAACCCTCACCACATACCTGGAGGTCCTGGATCTCCTGATAGACTCTGTCCAGCTGGATCCTGCTGAACTGCTTGTGCAGCCGGTACATCAGGGTCATGTCAGAAACAGGGTGCACAGCAAGAGCTGCTTGGAACTCCTCTTCTTCTTCCTTCTCCAGTTCAGTATTCTTGGCCAGTTCGTAAGTGTGATAATGCTGGCCCTGAAGCAGACAAAAGCCAGAAAGACTGGCATGGAACTTGAGTTCACAGAGCAGCCTTTCCTCACCCCAGACACACATCTGCCCCTCTTTCCATACTGACTGTAGTATCCAGGAAAAAAAAAAGGTAAGTTGTCCCTCCCACCCTGCACTGCATTCCCACTTGCATCTCAGTACCAACACACCCTTTATCCTGCCTTCAAAAAACCTGTGAATCAGCCCTGCTAGTAAGAAAATTAAACCCCGTGTGTGCTCTCTCCCTCAACATCCCACTTGTGATTCTGGGCCTCCCCCTCAGTGCTGCCATAGCACAGAGCCCTTCCTTCCTCTGCAACTCACAGGTTTTTTCCACAAAAAAGCTACTTGGCTATGCAGTAGAGAACAAGTAAGATTCCAGGCTTTTTAAGGCCCAGCTAACACAAAACCTGAGCAGGGAGGTAGTACCTGGAGCTGGGAAACACAAGTAATGCCAAGGAAATCAATGATGCAACGACCCAGCCACTCGTCTGGGCGCACACTGAGGATCTCATTGCGACAGCTGTCCAGGTGTGGGTGGAGCTTAAGCAAGAGGCTACGGGACAGCAGGTAGCCAAAGCCCCCGTGACAGTAACGGGCCTGTTCATCTCCCCCGATGAACTCCTCCGCTCGCCCCAGGTACACATCTTGGTTAATACTCAGGTGTGTCACCAGAGCCTTGACCTGTTCAGCTTGGGCATAGGTGTCATCCTGCATGATGTAGAACCAGTCATAGTCAGAACCAAAATGTTGATGGATATAGTTCATGGTCTCATACATGAGCCAAATGGGCCTCTCGTCACCATGGGCCACCAGCACCATGCCATGGGGCACCTTGGCACTGCGCAGCCCGGTGAAGTACAGCAGGCGTGGGAAGTGGTGGGCCACTGTCTTGTTCACTGCCACTGCCAATGTGTTCAGTGTGGCCTTGGAGGTCAGCACAGCCACAAACAGTCTCTCATGGAATCCCAATTCTGTCTGGATGTAGCGAGTTCTGTAAAGGAAGTACATACTTACATGACAAACAGCTGGAGGAGAAAAAAAAAAATCAAAGAATGATGGTAACTTGGGATAAGTCTTTAACAGCTGGAATCTACACAGAGCGAAAAAGTCAAGCCTAGTCATAGAGCTTTAAGAGAAGACTCACTAGTGAAAATCCCATTTTGTGAAAACACTTTCTTCCTTCAAGGCAGCTACAATCTCATGTTATCTATCTGAGCCAAAAAACTGTGCCAGTGCAATTAAAATTAAAATACCACAGAGCTAACTATTTGGAGCTTAGTACACAGGGCAGCTTAGCAGGTATGCTCAATAAAAACACAAGAAAGATTGTTGAGGAGTCTCCCAGTGCTGGTGGCTGAGGTGTGATGGGGTGCACCAGCTGCACATGGGGCCTGGCTACTGGGAGATCACTGAAGCACCAGGCCATGAGCCAGCAATGGGTGGTGATCTTTGGCCTCACAAACAGCACAAAGCCCTGCAGGACCCAATGAACAATGAGAAGACTCCAGACCAAAAACCACCACTGCACCAAGAAGCACATGAGGAAACATATCAAGAGAATACAGAGACTGTGAGGGTACAAAAATCCAGGACTCCCCTTGTTCAGGATCCCTCTGCAGAGGCACCACCCTGAGCTGTTATGATATTGCTGCACCACAGGTGAAATACTTAGAAAAACCAAAGGGACTCTGCTACAGGAAACCTGGGGCCAAGGAAACTTGTCTGGCAGTATGAGCATGGTGTGTGGAAGGAGCCGAGCAAGGCACCTCTTGGATCACCAGAGCTGTAGCTGCAAAGGAGACTTGGTCCCAGCAGAGACAGCCTAGGGCAGTGGCAGTGTGATCACCAGAGCGGCACCTGGATGGTCAGGCAGGAAAATCTTGTTAACACATACACATGATCAAAATTTTCCTAATGAATAGACCAACTATACTAAATTTTGAAGAGTAATTTAACATGTTCTATTAAACATGAGTAACAAAACAACCACAGAATCCCAGAATGGTTTGGAGTGGAAGAGACCTTTAACATCACTTTAACATCATCTAGTTCCAACATCCTGCCACAGGTAGAGACATCTTCCACTAGACCAGGTTGCTCCAAACCCTGTCAAACCTGGCCTTGGACACTTCCAGGGATGGGGCAGCCACAGCTTCTCTGGGTAACCTGTGCCAATGCTTTGCCATCTTCGCAGAAAAGACTTTCTTCCTAATATCTGATCTAAACCAACTTGCCTTCAGTTTGAAATCATTTCCCCTGTCCTGTCATTCTTCCTTCTTGTTAAACAGTCTCTCTCCATCTTTCTTGGTTGCTCCCTTTCCAGTACTGTAAAGCTGCAGCTAGATCATCGTAAAGCTTCTTTTCTCCAGACTGAACAATTCAAATTCTCTCAGCCTTTCCTCCACTCATCTAATCATCTTGGTGGCTTTCTCTAGATTCACTCCAACAAGCTGATGTATTTTTTGTGTTGACGACCCCAGGGATGGATGCAGCATTGCAGGTGGGGTCTCCCCTGAGCAGGGCAGAATCACCCTCCCTGTACTGAGAAGACGTTCTCACTTTTCTTGGGCAATTTTGCTGCCTTTTTCCCCCTCAGGTTAATTTCCTGAACACATCTCTTGCACCCCTTAAGGTAACAATCTTGGCCATTACCTTGGTGTACCACACTCTTACTACACAAGTTCTCAAAGAGCAAATTTCAGCTTGAACCTGTTCACTCACACGAAGATTTAGAACTTCCCAGGAGAATATTCTGCTTGAAGGAAATCCAGGTCAGAAAAAACACAACTTACCTGAGCACTTTTTTGTAAGGCTTGTTGGGATCTCTGTAATACGGTACAATCCGGGGCCTGAAGTCCTCGTGGCCCGGGCCCGGCCTCCCCTCCGCTGCCTCGGGCGGAGCCCCACGGGCGGGCGGCGCGGGCGGGCCCGGTGCCAGACAACGTTCCTCGGCTGCCCCGTGGCTCCAGGAGGCGCGCAGGAGGCTCAGGCTGCAGCCCAGAGACAG